CTCTGCTCCAATTTAAGGCTCGTATAGGATACAAAATAGGTGAAAAGGAAACACACTTAAATCTGCAGACACCATGTTTTCCGACAGACATTTAAATCGTCTGACTCGATAGACATCATGATAGATTGACTCTACCTCCGATTCCCCGTACTATCATCAATCGTCCCAAGCCTATTGTGTGCTAAATCTTGCAGTATGACAGTTCAGACATTGCAGCATGTCGGCTGGCATGGACACACATTAACACTTCCTTCTGTTATAGGGTGCCATTACTTTTTTCTGAATGGCTAGCCTTATTTGTCTTAATCTATGGATTTGTTTTGGATTACTTTCTTGAATATGACAGTCATTCATATGAATTGACTCACAAAATTTACATTAAATTGGTGTTTAATTAATATGAATAAGCGATTTAAACTTGACGGAGTAATCTGTATATAACATCACAGCTGAAGCCTGAAGCTCGAAGGTTCACAGTCATGTCTCCTGATATGTAAATTTACACAAACTCAGGAGGCCATGAAAAATATAAACTTTTTCTGTACCAAACTGGATTTTCATAGATACATCACATTTCTGTGTAAATGAACCTGTAAACTATTTACGAAAAAAAAAAAATCTTTTGTATTCTGCTAGATAAATGACGCCCAGTGTGTGCAGATTTTGTTCCCAAAGGTATAAACAAGGTAAATTGGTCTTTAGGTCCAATTATGTATCTTAACAATGTTTCTCTATAATTATATTCCTCCAGCTAGACATGTTAAAAGCATTTCTATCTTAAATCTCTAGAGGAAAACCCTATGTGGTGTAGTGAGTAAGCTCACAGAAACCTGATTGGTGTGTTACACCGAGTGATCACACACCTGTAAATGACAGAGGAGACGCTCATCTAGCATGTAGTCAAATCCCCCAGATTCATATTGATCTTTCTTTTGCCTCGAGCCCATCTTTTCTCTTCTGTGTCTATTACTGTATGTTTTGATCTTGCATTAGAGTGTGTGTGTGTGTGTGTGTGTTTATCTGCTTCAATTTCTTTCCATTACTTGCAGACAGAACGCTGGCAGGGAGAGAGTGCATCCGTGACTCTGTGTGTGTGTGTGTGTGTGTGTGTGTGTGTGTGTGTGAAATATTTTCCATCTCCAAAGGCTTATTTGTTGATGGTTACTATAATACACATACAGCTCATTATACTGTATATACCTTTTATGAACATCATTATTTGCACAAAAAAATGTTATTCAATGTCAAATATCATTTTCGTGCAGTAACTGCGTTATCATGCTGTTCATAAAAAGCCAATGGATCCAAGTCTTCATTACAAGTTCATATTTAAACCCCAGACGTGAAACGTCTCTTAATTTGTTTAATCACATTTTATTGGCTATCAGGTGCTATGGTGAGAAACAGAATTAATCTGAAGCAGGATTGCGCATTTTTCCAGCTTAGCTACACTCCGGGATAGTTCAGGGATATCAACGTGACAGATGAGGAAGTGCAGGAAGTTTACTGCAGGAGGAGAAAAAGAACCTACTGTAGAACGTGTGGTTCTATAAGATAAAAAAATAGCATGTCTGGCTCTATTGCTAGCATCTTATTTTAATCATTTTCAGTGGAATTGTCATAAAGTTATTTTATGCAGTGTTATTAATATGGCGAGATTGGATGACGGTATATCATGCCTTAAATGATTAAAATAAAATCTGGCTAGCATCCACACAAAATCTAAAAATGAGCAGTTACACTACTCAGTTTAATAGCAGAGATCATGTGGTCATTTTATTTAATGTATTTCATACTAAATATATATTTTAGTTTGTGTAGAATATAGACCAAATGTCCCCATAGAAATAGTACTATGTGCCATTTATGACCTTGTGGAAACATCTGGCTGGATGTTTTTATTTATTTGATCTGCCTTGTATCTGTACTTCAGAGCTGCTTTCTGGAATTTCTTCTTACATCTGTTACTACTTCTGTCAGTCTGGAGTTTAATTAAGAATTTATTATGTCTCACACTTAAAACCAAAAACGTGAAGAGTTGATGCATAAGACTTTTCTTGATTTTGAAAGCAGGACAAATCTGGGTAAAAAGCCTGTAGGATTTTATCTTAGAACTTCAGCTTTTCTGTCTTTTTTGGTTCTCCTTCTGGGCTTTCAGCTCTTTCTTGGCTTCTTGGTATCAGCTTCCATTCATGTTCCTGCTGCTTCCATACTTCTCTTACCCTGCAGCCGCTGATCTCGCTCTGAATCCAAACTGGCCTCCAGCTGCACAGTGGTTTTTATCTCTCTCTGTCTCTCATCCAGCTCTCTCTCCATCTCTGTCATCTTCTCTCCTTCCTCACAAAGTTTCAGAGAAGCCTGGAGTGTTTTGCAGGAGTGCAGCTTTCCTCTCCTCTACCTTATTATTTCTGATCTTTCTCAATCTGTCTGATATCTTCTCATCTCTTTATGTCTTTCTCAAGCTCTTGCATATTTTTGGCCATCTCTTCTTTTTCATTTTGAATTTTCCCATTATGTTGTCTTTCTCATTGGCCTCTGTCTCTCGTTTTTCTCTCTCTAGTTTGGTGCATTTCTATCTCTTCTTCTCCAGCTTGGCCTTTTCTCATTGCTCTCACTCTAAAACAAAGTGGCCTCCAGCTGTGCTGCCATCATCTCCAGCATGTCACTGGCCTCCATTCTATGTTCTCTGTCATGTCTCTTTCTCTTTTTTTCTCCATGCAACACTTCCTGCAACCTCTGCACTGGAAATTCCTTCTTGGATTTCTTCTGCTTCCACATTCAAATTCCATTTCCAATCTTTGATTCCATCTCTGATCTGGGCTTCCTCTTTCCAGACTCAGCCATTTCATTATGAAGTCTTTCTGAAATCTTTATAAAAGGTCTGAGGAGTGTGAGGAACTAAAGGAGATCAATAACTGTGACAATCTGAGAGTTTGTTTCTGGGTTCCTGTCACCTTATCTTACTAACAATAGGGTTTAGTATTAAAGGATTACTGAAAGTGATTTTGACACCTCAGCAAAGAAATGTTCTCTCAGGGCATTACCTTTGGTTGTCGTGGATCTCTTCCTCATGAACCTCATGTTCCTCATGTGGAAGTTCATCCCTGTCACACAGCTGTATGCCATGGATGCACACAGAGGGGGTGGACTTTAATAAAGTCCTGGTCTTTATTATGCCGAAAACCCTCTCAATGATGATACAAGCTTTTTGAGTGGTTGCTGTTTGTGATGCTCATCTCTGACTGGCTGCTTGAAGGATGTCATACGACCATGGGGCCATTAAAGACAGGGATATCCTACATGTCTTTGGTACAGTGGGTACAGTCCTGAACCATAAAGCAGGCTGTGCTTCAAGGCTCTGGATTCATGCTCTGAACCAGAACAGTCAACAGAAATATCCAGAACCATGGCCCAGTGTTCCCTCATAGCTTGGCGCTGTACAGATGTAAATAGCTTTCTGTTTCTGTAGCACCCAGTGTCTGGCTCTCCTGGGGCTTTAATATAGATGTGACATCCCTCAATCCCCTGGCTCTGCAGAAAGCTGGGTTTTGAGCAAGCCTGGCAAAACCACCTCATATAAGGCCAGGACAATACCAGGACTTCACTGGTGTTTCCACACCCATAATGACGCTCTTGGTTCAGCGGCCTCATCAAAACAGCTAGTGACTCCCTGCTGAGATGAAAATCTTGGTGAGTGTCTTGCTCGGTATTAAAAAGCAAATGTAGCAGGGGAATCAAGCAGCTCAGGGAGCAGTAAAGGGTTGCCAGGCCTTCATTCTGTGAATGAAATGAAACTTTTTATTCCTTACTTATCCTGTTTACTTAGTTTATTGGTGTATGACACCTCACATTTTTGACTCTAGCCTGATTGATGTCTCTTTTAGTGGATTATACACCTTAAAATTTTGCAACAAAGATCGCTGTCTTAGCATGGATACAGTTAGCGCTTCAGAGAAAATTGCTACAGAGAAAATACATTGAGCTGAGAATGGATGTGTTTTGGGCGGTCATCAGTAAAAGATCACTAGGCTAGGATCTGCCATGGATGGAGTATCTACAGCAACTGTCTACAACATTCCCAGCTGCCTCGGTCCAATTAGCTGTGTGGCTCAGATACAGCCTCCCACAGTCTCACACGACAGGTATGATGCCTGACCCAATAAATATTTTTTTTTTTTGCTACAATGCTCTATTTTACCCAGCAGGATTTTTGCATCAAGTGCACAAATAGCTACACTTATTTCAGTGTGGATTGTAAAGGTGCCGCATTGGGCTACAACATCTGGGAACATTGTGCTGAGAAAACTAGCACTTTGACTGCTTCATGCATTTTTTATACTTTGAGTTTGATCACCCTCCACATGGCATGGAGAGTGGGAAGAAGCTACTGAAAGGTTTAAACTTAATTGGTATTAACAGTAGTGTTACTTGTGAGAGAGGAAATTTCATGTAGCCAGTGTTCTGCAATCCCCCAACACCCAATTGTTGACAACAAACTGATGCAATCTGGATTATTATTGGGAACTTAGGATGCATCACTATTGCAGAGAACGAGACATCAGTTAGAAACCTTCTCCAAATGACCTTCCTAGGGTAATCAATCAGTCCAAGGGGATCAGAGTGGAAGACAAAAAGGTCTCTACACTGGCTGCATGGCCATAATAATTTAAGAACTGTAATGATTCCTGGGCTTTGCCAAATAATATAATCATCTCTTGTGAAACTTTCGCCTAATAGCTTCTCAATTTACCTTGCTCAAGGGTAATCCATGTAAGATGGAGTTTTCACAAACTGCCAAGAGTTCCTTAAAGAATGATTAATTACAGGTTTTTATTAAAACAAGTTGACCAATACTTCAGTGTGTAGTGGTGAGGTTGGATTGGAAATAGTGCCGTCTTCGCTAATGGTAACCCTCTGAAATACTGCTGCTTACTTACCCCATACACTCTAACAATTGTGCCAGACTTAAATTCACTAGAGTAGTGGAGATATTGACTTAGTCTCTGGAGGACTAGTGGTTAGGCCACAACGTTTTCATCACTGTGGCCCGGGTTTGACTCCTGGCCAGGGAACCAACCCCAGACACTGGGGTTGCGTGCAACAGTGTGCTCTCAGTGCCAGTCCCAAGCCCAGATAAAATTGGGGAGGGTTGCATCAGGAAAGGCATCTGGCATAAAATCTGTCCCAAATCAAATATGCAGACCAATGATCTGCTGTGGCGACCCCTAATGGGAGCAGCTGAAAGAGGAACAACAACAACAACAGTGGCGATATTGACTCACAGGATCCCAGAAAACTTTTTCATACTATAGAGTCTTTAGTGGGACCACTGGCTATCTAATGCAAAGCAGAAGCCACCCAGTTGTCAGAGTTCCCCAGTTTTACAATTCAAAAAAATGCAGCTTTTCATGTAACCCAGAAACCACATAGCATACACTCTTCCGTCCTCAAGATGTTGGAAGACCTAAAGTTACACCTTTACCTCAGATTGGTACAAAGCACTGAAACTGAAGACTCCTTCCAAAAATGTTAAATCTTTTTATGCGGTGCATCTGCTGATGAGCTGTTACTATAGAAACGATGACGTATTACAAACCTGTGGTTTACAGCTGCACTACTGTCAGAGCTTTTAATCAACACCTTCTGACCAATCAGAATTGAAAATTCAGCAGAGCTCTTGTATAAAAATATATCCCTGGGTTTCCGTTGCTTTGTTTTGTTTCCTCCCTAGGTTTCTTCCTCCTTAGCTCCATCTTGGGTAGTTTGTCTTTGACACTGCTCACTGGGGGTTTAGGACCTCAAAGTCTGTAAAGCTGCTTTGAGACATTGCATATAAAGCACCATAAAATCCTACTAAATTCAGTGTATTCAATGAATGGTTTGTGTATTGTGTATATGTAAATCTAAACACCAACCTTTCATACAGAGTAGACCTACTTTTACTTTCTATAGAAGGCTGGTGTTGATTTGAGAGTTTGTCTTTTGGCTCTTGTGACACCAAAGCTGATTGATTTATGCTGGTTTTAATCCCCAGCGCTGTCCGTTCCTATCAGTTCAGCCATTAATTCCTCACTGAAGACAGAAAGGGAAATGGAGTAAACTCCCATAGCTAGCTGATGTGCTGAAATATCCGATGTCCTTTTGATCTCACTCTCTGCTAGTTCTCCTCAAGGCCTCGGTATATCTCCAACAGACACACACACACACACGAAACACAGTGAAGCATTGTGTCCCACAGGCAAAATCTTCCTAATAGAAATGATTCTGTTCATTTTTCCTCTATTTGCTCTGTATTATTGCCACTTGTAAGGTTTTAGAGCTGATTATTGCACTGCATATGTTTTGCACTTTCAATGCTCGTACCATCACCAAATCTATAGTGTATCATTTTCAGCACGTTCAGCCCACAGTAGACCTCTATCAAAAACACACACTGCTCAAGTTTACTGCATTGATTGCTTATAAGTTTAATAACATAACATAAAAAAGAGGCATTTTAAGTATTATTGCTCTATCAGGGGTGAATTGATGAATGCAGTGTGTACCTACACTCACTGAAACGTATTTTTCAACTCACTCATTTTCTTGAGTGTTTCAAGTCAGGAATCTCTTCCGAATAGCAAGCACCTGAGCCCGTAACACCTCCACGCCAGCAGAGGTCCCCCAACCTGGAATACTCTCCACTTCTACACTCATCATAACTTCCTGTTGTTCAAACTCAAAGTATTTTGCGAATTCTTTCCAACTGTTTGTATAAGTTCTGAGCCTCATATCCTGTAATTGCTATCAGTATGTTCTTGTGTTTCAATTGCTCTTTGAATTTGCCCTTGTCTGGACTGTTTGCTATTTCTGGATTGTGTAATGGATTTGTTATTAAACCTCCTGCACATGGATTCATACACATCTCCCAAGTCCTGACAACGATAAACGGACCACACAAAACTTACGGTTCTGTCGTTTGTACCTTCGGGGTTAATAAATTATCCTCAATGCACATGAAATTAGGAAGTGTAATCACCTGACACCACTGTCACTGATAGGCTGCACGAATCTTCTTTCTAGCTGAGTCTGTAATCAGCCCCCGCCTCACTTCTTCCTACTGTTCTGTGTATTTTTCTTACAACCAGTGGTGCTGTTATTGTTCGTTTCCATAAAAGTCCAAAATAATCCACGTTAGTTAATTTACATTTGTTAACAGCAAAAAAGACCATATACTAAAGACTATAAAACATATATATATATGTGTATGTATATATATATATATATATATATACACACACACACACACACACACCCATTAATAGTAGCCAGCCCTGATCTTGACTAAGTCCATCAATTTGTACCGATTATCCCAGGTGAGCCTGAAAGAACATAAGAGCCATTAGTGGAACTTTGGGCTTTGATTATACCTGAGCATGCAGTAACTCCTCTGTGCCTCTCTTTCTACTCTTAAAGAACCATTTATCTCCATCAATACCTGCTGCTCTCTGATAAAAGACAAGATGCAGACTCAGCCCTAATGGCTTTCTAGAGATTTCCACCAGCACGTAATCACACCATCTACACTCCATTACAGAGAGAGAACACCATAATATCAAGGTTACTGCTTTTCATAAACATAGTATATAGTTAACTGCATATGACATTGATTAAAAAGCTTTTTTTTTTTCCTGTTAGGGGTAAAGCATTAATTGCAGAATTAATTTTGTGAGGTGTTCCTACATACATAAGACTCTCTTGTGATAGGGAACATGACAATCACCTTTGATTTTAACTTTTTTTTTTTAATTTAAGGAAATTGGACATTGATGAAACCTTGGCTTTGATTATACCCAAACACCACAAAAGTTCAGATTTTGTCAGCCATAATGGCCATCTTGATATTTCCACCATAGCTAATGGAGGAGAAGAAGGCCATTCAGATATTACATTTGGACTCACTAATTAGTATTTGATTTTTATTTAAATACTCGGCTATTTGAGGGCAGTGAAAGTTTTCACGCTAGAGAACAGTACAAGGTGAATGGCTCATTGTAATGCAGAGTTAGTGTCTAAATAAATACTGCATATCTTTTCTCTCCAGACATTTTAATCACATTTTGTTAGCGAGAGAATCCTTAATTGTCTCTCTTTGCCTAGTGTGGCATTTTATTCACAATAAAATCAATAGTCTCATCTGTGTCATGAAGTTGTTCAGCTGATGAAGTGATACAGCCTGAAACTTGTCCAAATCAGTTAACAACAATCTTAATGCTCGTGATTGGTCCTGAGGGAAATGGAGATTAGGGGGGATGTGAGATATATCCCCCAACCATAGTGGTTTTTTTTTTCCAATCTGGATAGTTTCATTTAATACCACACCTGTGCTTTCTGATTTCTGTCATATTGACGTTGATTGGCTTTGTGCTCTTTGGAGCCATGACAGCTCTTCAGCCATGATTTTTTTTTTTTCCTCCAATGATGTTTGACAGCTGTTTCACTTCTGGAAAAAACAAGAGTAGCTCTCTTGTCACGAACACTGCCATTATGGTTCTGGGATTTGAAACCCTGTCTGAAGTCTCTGGTGTGTTGTCCAAATGTCTGATTCATCCTGAGTGTCTGGAGCTGGAGGACACACAGCTCGATTGCTGGAACACTTGGTTTGGGCGACGTTTGTAATACAAAGTGGCAGATGAAGATGTGAGGAGCCTTAAAAGCTGCAGCAGTTGAAGATATTTTTATGTTTTCATGGTGATGATTTAAAGGTTATAGATTAAATGCTCTTAAGCAGCTGCCTTCAGGCTTATTTGCATTGGACCAGGGGTCTTATAGTCATAGAAAACTTTTTTCAATCCAGTTATGTGTAGCGTCTGCCATACAAATCCTTGTGTACATTGTTACTATAGAAACGATAACATATTAGAACGAGCATATTAATATAAACCTGTGATTTGCAGTTGCACTGCTGTCAGCTGCTGTTATAGAAAATTAATCCACACCTTCTGACCAATCAGAATCCAGAATTGAACAAAGCTGTGGTATAAACACTCTTAAACCTTTTTTTTTTTCCCAATAATGTGCACAGCTCTGTTTCTAAAGTAATTAATGTAAATGACATTGTTTTAAAAGACAGTAAAAGGTTTTCCAAATGCATGTATGCTTGATTGATAGTTTATTAAAGTTTATTACTAAATGCCTTTCTTTTTTTCTTCTTTCACAAATGCCGGTAGAGTGATTGACACCCAATGTGTAATCATCACTCAGGTAGAGTCACTGTAGGTTTTACCTTCACAGCTTTTCACACATCCTCCCCACAATGCCTCAGATCCTGTCGGGCTTTTGTAGAGTTTCTGCGGTAGTGTGTCTGATACACGGGCTCTGATACACAAACTCGCATCTCTGTTTGAAGCTGAAGAAACAACAAAGTGTAACAGCTCTGAGGCTCAGTAACGGGGATTATGTTAAATGTGAGACACAAACATGTGGAGATCAGAACAGCTGTCAGTCCTGCTTCTTTGTGCACCTTATACGTGTTTACTTCTGATGTTATTTATCCCATGCTAAACAGCCATGACTCACTGCTACGCTAGTCCTTGTGTAAGTTGTTTATAACATTTATAACTTTTCGGTGCGTCTGAATTACTAACTCTGCATGTCTGCATGTCATCATTGTCCTCAAACTCATCATGACACTTTCCCCAAGAAGGAATGGCATCTTGCATCTTGCATGACCTGGCCTTGCAAGTCTAATTAGCAACGTCTGTCCGTCTCCTCTGAGCTGGACTAAAGACAGACAGAGCATATGTGCCATTTTAGTTTCAAAATTTGAGGTTTTCCTACTTTGCCTCATTTTAGCACAATATAATGAAAATCATCCACCCACACTCCCTCTGTTATAGCTGTGAAAAAGTGCAAGCCAGCTGTGTATTGTTTTACTGTTATTGAACATGTTTGGGAAAAGCATGTATTAAGTCACAGTTTCAAATCCATTAGCTTTGTAATATCCAAAGATAAAGCGAGTGGACTATTTGCACTAATGCATGAAAGCGAATGGAGCATAAACTCTGTTATTTTGTATTCATCACTTTCTGAA